TGACCACAAAGTAACTTAGTTAAATTAAAGTACCTGGTATGATTAGTGTTAGGAACGTAATGAAATTTGGTTTGCTTCAAAAAAATTTGGATTAATCTGAGTTCCGTGCAATATTTTAACATTTACAATCATTGCTGGATCTATAGGGCAAAGGAAATCATAACCTTTGCTCCAATTTTAAGATGATGAATTGGAGCTTTTTCCAACAAAGCAGAGGACAAAGCCATGTCTTGTTTTGATAGTATACAGCACATTTCATTTCATGTAACTAAATCCAGCTGATATTTTGTTAAAAGACAAAGTTGTTGTCTTTATGATTTTGGTACTGTTTACTAAAACACATATACAATTAATAACTGCTTTCTAAATAATGGGATGTGTGGCAGATGTCAAATATGATACTTCTATCTGTGGCAGATATTAAATGTGATACTTCTAGCACAGAAGTACATGATCAATTTTTTAAGTTACATTTTACATTTTATTTTAATTAGCTACTGCACTTTTTATTTAAACTAAAAACAATTTTATTTTATATATCTATCCTAGTTCCCTCACCCTCCCATTTTCCCATGCCCCTCACCGACACGCATCCCATCCCTCTTCTGCTCCATAGAAAGGGTGAGGCTTTTCTAGTCTGCCTAGGGCCTGTCCCGTGTGACTAGGCTGAGAGAGTATCCCTCTATAAGGAGTGGGCTCCCAATGTCCATTCGTTTTTTAAAAGGAATGAGTGTGCCTGTCTGCGGGCGTGCCTGCGTGGCTAGTTGACAAGCAAGCATGTATCTGCAGAGGCCAAAAGACGGTGTTGAATCCTGTGGAGCTAAAGTTATAGGTGGAAGAACATCATAAGCAAACATGCTTCAAATCACAGCACTGGCGGGGAGGCTCCAGAGAGAGACAATATTTTCACAGTTTGTAGGTGCCTGGGACTTGGAAGGGTTGGGTACAGGATGGTGAATTGGATCGGAGCAATCATACCACTGATGTTAGTCTAGTTGTGGTGATTAACTCATGAATAGTTTTTTAGCACTTCTTACTTATTTAATCCAGTTTAAGATACTCTGGGAGTTATGAAGTCTCCCAGTGTAACAACTCCAGGTATAACTCCAATAGACAAAAATCAAAGACTGCAAAGGACGGGTACTGTTTGTTGGTTGGCTTGCTTGCTTCCTCGTTTAATTTCTTTCACTTAGGCTACAACAAACACGCTATGTCAGGCACCTAATGTCCTCACATTTTCTGTTTCTAATTTGGAAATAAGAGCATTGACTTGGATAGGCTCTAAAGCTCTTTCAGCTATACTTTCTGTGTAACTAACCAGAATCTCCAAAATATTGACCTTACCACTGAGCAGCTATAGTACTGACAATATATCTAATGGTTACCAGGAACGTATACTCAAAACACAGCTTCTGCAGGTTAGGAGATACATTCATGCTGAGAGGACATGAGCAACTACCTTTTTCCAAAAATGTGTTAAAACAGAAGAAAAGAGCTGAAAATTAACCCTTATAAATGTCACAATTTGCCTACTGTATAATTTAAATTGTTTAAATAAAGGTGCTTATTTGCATAATGAAGCATTTAAAAGATATATCTTAAAAATAACAATACTGGGCATTGATTTGAAATTTAAACAAAACATAACAAGTACAAATTACTCTAGAAAGAATGCCATGTAACTGCATAATTAGATGTATTAATAAATGTGAACTATAATTTATGAGACTAAATTTGGCATAGGTATTTATTTAAAGAAAAGTATCTATATTTTATATTTAAATTGCTTCTATTTTTGTTTTGTAAGCATTTGTTGTCATTAACTTTTATAACATGTGTATAATTATACAAGGCAAATGCCTTAAAAAAGTAACGGTCGGGATTAGTTGTCTAAACTGAATTCTCAATTTGATCACTCTCTGCAATAATTTGGGGGAACATGGCATGATACACAAGAGCATCCAGAATATCAAGATTTTTCAGTGTCAAAATACCACCAAAATTGTTTCAGTGTCTAAACAGAATTCAAAGCAATGGTTGTAGCTTTGAACCAAGTCCTTAAGTAGCCCAAACTAAACTGTTAATTCATTTAAGAATCATCCAACTTTTTAATCAATAAAATAATTTAAAGTATTTGGTTACATTTTGAGCTTTATTTTTAAATTAAAATATAAATACATCACTTATCCTTTTCTCCTTCCAATCCTTCCCATGACACCTACTCTCTTTCAAATTGATGGCCTCCTTGTCTTTCATTATTATTGTTACACACACACACACACACACACACACACACAATTATAAGTCTACTTAATGAGATTTGTTTGTATGTAGTTTCAGAGTTGACCACTTGGTCTAGATTTCCCTTCTGTGTTACCACATTTATTGATGTTACAACTTTTCAGATCATATTCAGTTACTCTAATTTTTTATTTGAAATGTATAGGTATTTTGCATGTGAATATGTATGTCTGTGCACAACTTGGGTGTCTAGTGCTTGCAGAGGCCAAAGGACAGCCTCAGATACCCTGGAACTGGAGTGACAGATAGCTGTGAGCCATCATGTGGGTTCCTGGAACTGAACCCAGGTCTTCTGAAAGAACAATTCTTAAGCAACATTTTTACTCCTCTTGTTTGATTTCTTTAAATAGTGAAAATGTTGTACCCAAATTCTGAACCCACCAAGAGACCTGATCCAAAGAAAAAGCAAAGAATCTTTTATTAGCACATTAACTGTATCAGTTCCTCCATCTGTCTGACATAGCAGGTGGAGTGAGAGGGACCTGGAGGGACTATGGCGCAAGAAATTTATTGGGGTGGAGTAAGGAGAGTGTCTGGAGCCTGCAACATTTTCAGGATTGGTACATTTCTGGCTTATGTGACCTATCTTGTGTTTATTGATTAAAACTGGTAGTTATGGCCTATAGGCCTGCCCAGGGCAGTTGCTATGCTCTGAAAGCCACTGTTACTGTAAACCACACCCAGAGCCTGCCAACTAACTTCTGATTGGTTCCTTGACACATGGAATGTATCTGACCTCCTACTTACTAGGAGGTCAGGCAAAGTCAGCAAGCTCAGAATATGTTGCTGAATCAGAGACCTACATCTTGCTGGATCTTTTCTGTAGCCTGTCTTGGCTGATAAAGCAGGGGCTGGGTGAGTGTCTGTTCCCTCCAAAGTGCTGTAACCTGTCTTTGTGAGGCTTTAGTTGGATCCAGTCGACTTGGCTGGTTCATACCTGAGAGAAAGAGAGTGTGTGTGAATTGAGACATTAAGAAAAAGCCAGAGGTACAGAACACAGTCAGAAAGGCTTTCCAAGGAATACTGTATGCCCCAAGTTTATTCTTCAACATTCATAAATACCGAAACCAAAAAGAGGAATGTGGCACCATTGCAGTCACATGAATGGGGAGGTAAAATGCAAAGTCCTAGAGTTTTCTGCCAAAATGTGAGGTTATTCTGTGTTCTCAGAAAAGGTATTCATAGCAAGCCCTGGGGGCAAGAATTACCCACATGAAGTAAATACCCTTCTGGAAACAGCTTTCATCTCAGGCTGCCTTATAGAATCCCACAATGAATATAAGAGAGCAGTTTGATTTTTTTATTGATATTAAATATCAGGCTTGTATGCAAAGAATATAAACATCTGGTGATTTTTTTGTTTATTGTTTGTATTGTGGGTCTTATTTTTATTTTTTTCCCATTGAGAGTGTTTATCTGTTGTCATTTCAACTAATATGGAGAAAGACGAAAAAATACACCCTTTTAGTCATTCATCTCTATGAGTGCCCTAAGAATCTAAGTGATGTATGTCAAAACATTACATATTAGAAATTACTTTCCCACCAAAACATGAATTTCTCCAAAGAGAACTTTTCATAAATTGAGTATAGTCTTTTTCCTCTTCAAAGAATTGCCAACATTGTTTTCAAGAAATATGGGACTTTTGATCTTTTTATGTCATTTTTTTTTAAATTCAAACATTCTAGCATTCATTTTCTTGAAAGTTGATAGCTTCTATTAAGGGCAATGCTGTTTAGAATGAATCTTCTTGTGAGAATAGTCTGTGATTGCTGCCCTCTACATGTGCAGGCAATCTTCCCATTTTCCTTCAGTAAAGAAATTTTCTCTTTTACATCCAAATGTATTACATTTTTATGTTGTGTCCAAAAGTGGAGATGACCTCTGTTCCAAAGGTTCTAGCTGTCAGTATGTATTTGGTCACAGACAACATGTATGATTAGCTAAGGATTTCTCATCACTTGAGGAGTTTCTGCTTGTGAAAGGTAATGTAACAAGAACTCACCAAGTTTCTTAAGGTCACTTTGCACTAAAGCAATAGAATGTAGGGATTTAGAAAGCTCCATATGTGTTAAATTATTCTTAAATTATAATTTGATACTAAGTCATTGATAATTTGCTGTCATCTTCTGTGCCTTAATTCAGAGACCACCTTTTGTTTGTGATGATACATGCATCTATAGAAGCTGCTAACTGAGCTGACATGCTGTCTCTAAGCATGAACATCCATTGGTCCCTTTTTGCACCATGGAACTTTAAAATGAGTTGGCTAATGGCTATGTTTTTAATTCAAATTCCTGTTCTGTTACAATTGGCATCTTTCTTTTGTATTATGTATTCTAGTTATATCATTTGCTTATCTTATTCAAGTTTAGTTTGAGAAAGGAAGAGGCCCTCCTACATTTTAACAATCACCTTAATCATATGGCCCAGTATTGACATGATTTCAGGATTCAAAAATTTTCTTCCACTGCTATGTTTCCCTTTTACATTTTCAGAATGTTTTTGTGACTATTGGGTAAATTAGAAATGTTTGTCCAAGAAATCTTGAATCCCCTGAGAAAGTTCAAAGTGTTAGGCTAATGGTTCTGGCTATGGTAGAGTCTAATGAAAATTACTCTTAAAATCGGGATTGTTTATGTTTAGATGATTTGCTTGGGTTTTCATGTATCTTGTGTCTTTTCTTCCTGACTCCACAGCACCCCCGACAGTTCGGATTGTGCACTCAGGATTGGCCTGCAATATTGAAGAGGAACGCTACTCTGAAAGAGTCTACACTATCCGGGAAGGAGAAACTCTAGAACTGACTTGTCTGGTTACAGGACATCCACGCCCACAGGTGAGTCCTGAGCTGTGACATTGAAGAAGACACTGACTTCTCATGGAAGTTGGTAGTTTATATTTTACACAATTAAGCTAGAATTTTTATGTTTGTTTGGCTGGTTGTAGGTGCATGCCTGGCAGGGTGGGAGTTGTGTCTTTGCTTTTATTTTCTACTCCAAAATAAATGAAGAGAATGAAAGGTAAGGGTGATAATTTCTAAATATTGCTCAAGAATGCAAGTGCATAGGATGAAATAAGAAATTTGGGTTGTGTGTTGCAAGAAATTTAGAATACATCCCCAAGAAAGCTGTTAAAAAGACAACTGCAAAAATAGCTCAAAAAGATAACAATTCATATGGCAGTGAGTCTATTTTAGAATGTGGAAACCTGGCTTCATGATGACATAATTGTACCTGAGGAAACTTTGTTTTGAAGAATGTGTTGCAAGGCATCACATGCACCTTTCTTAATCTTGGCTTTATATTCATAAATGTTTTAAATAAATGTTTACAGGTGTTAAATTTACTTGAAATTTCACATCAATTAGCTACACCTTCCTTAGGTGGTTACAAATGGGAACAATTGAGAAATTTGAAAAGTTCTAATACTACAAATAACGTGTAAAGATAAAACATGCAGGATCAAAAGAGATAATTGCATACAAATAAATCCATGTAGATTATACACATATAATGTGAAAATGTAATTTTTATTCAATGTTTTTCCTCATTAACAATTTTTATTTTTATATACTTAATCTGTCAACTTCAGAATTCACACAGATATATAAGTGTGGCAGAGGAAATTAGTAGATTTAGTAGAAAAAGTTATATATTTTAATTGCTTTGCTCTCAAGACAAAAAGCTTGGCTGACACAGCCAAAGAAGAGAATGGAATTAAATTTAAGGGTTTTATGAATTTGCAACTATTGCCTTGACATTTGCTTCCTTCACTTTTAACTATACTGATTAAGGAACTCTTAATTCTACCTCATGAACAAATAAAACTAAACCTAATGTAAGAAGAGGCATTGGATAGGCAGGCTGGTTTGAAGATAATTAGAAGATACAAGACGGATAGATACATAGATTCATAGGACCACAGTAATGACTGAAGTGATAAGATCAACTACATTTTACAAAAATTAATCTTGCTGTTAAACCCTAAAAGTAAAAAAGTAACTAAAACAATGTCTAATGTTTTTTGAAATAGAAATTACAAAGATTAAACTTATGAATAATTATATTTTCTAGTAACAGGATATGAATTAAAAAATAGAAGTTGGCTTAATAAAATTAAATACCATAAAATTTGGCTAAAAATAATTAAATATACTATAAACAATGATTTCAAAGGAAAACAGAGAAAAAGTGATGGTAATTATAAAATCAGATATGAGGTTAGTATTTAAAAATTCATAGAAAAAATATTGAGTTCTTCAAAAATTTTAAAAGCATATTTAGAGTTAACTCAAATAGCTCAAGAAATTTCGATGTTGTTACAATTTATTTTTTAATTAAAAGACCTAATAAGATAGGTAGAATCAAAGTTTGGAATCAAAATACTTTAAAGTACAAGAAGTAACAAAAGATTGGTGAGACAGTTACCAGAAAGAGAAGTCCACTGGTCACACACACCCAATGTTAGAACACTGAGTTGCTGCATTATACTCTGAACTATAAACTTCATTTTATATTATTATTATTTTCTTATTTTACATATTGATTACAGTTCCCCTTCCCTCCCGTCCTCTCTTCCTTCTTCCCTTTCTCCCTCCCTCCCGCTCTCCCTTCCACCCATGCCCTGCCATCCCATCTCCTCCCATCCCATCATCACCCTCCACTCCACAGGGAGGGTGATGCCACCAGGAGGGATCAAGAAAACCTGTCAAGTCATTTGGAGTAGGGACTAGGCCCCCACCCCTCCTACCTCTAGTTTAGGGGAGTATCTCCCTATGAGGAGTGCTCCCAAAGTCTTTTCATGCACCAGGGATACATCCTGATTCCACTGTCAGAGATCCCATAGACTTCCCAGGCCTTCCTAACTGAGACCCATGTTCAGGGGGTCTGAGTCAGTCCAATGCTGTTTTCCCAGCTATCACTTTAAAATGGAATTTCTATATACCCCTGTCTATATGTCCTCTATAACAGTTCTGTTTCCCCTTTAATCTTAGTGGACAGCGAGGCTTCCCTGTCAACATTTACATTTCAGAGTGACATCTCATTGTTTATCTAACCTGAAATGAGCTCTGGAAAGAGGATTAGGAGATTTTTATTCCTTAACCAATTCCATTTTGATGTCTATTTAAATATGTTCCCATAGTTTTTGGGTTTTTGTTACTTTGTTTGTTTGTGTTTGTTTGTTTGTTTTTGGACAACAAAAACTGTCATAATCATCATACTTTATTTCATTCATAGAAGTAACTCTTGTGTCACATTGAGTTGATATTTCCTCATTGAAATGGTTCACTGGGTGTCTTCTTTGCCAGCAGGCAGGATAGGGAAGGCTGACAGAACAGCTGGGGCTTGTCATTCTGGCCAAAGTCTAAAGGGCATGCTATTGGCATCTGCTCCTGAAGATGAATTTTCCTGGATGACAGCAAGGAGCTGGAACAGCTTCCTTCTGTATCTAGTCTGGCACTGGAAATACTCAAATGAAGACAAGAGGGTTCTTAGCCATTTGTCACCATAGTTTTTTAGTCTCCTACCTCTTTCCATTGCTATTAAAATCATAGAAATCCCCTACTTCCAAAAATATTACAAGCTTTTAAAAACTATATTACTTAGGTTCATTGCAAGTAGTCCAACACTAATGACATATGCAAGAGAAATAAAATAAAGGAGGAGTCAATTCACCCAAGTAGATAGGAGGGTGACACTGGAACCAGAATACCTATATTGCTTCATCCTCCTAACAGAGTAATTTTGGGAAAGTTCAAGACCTCTCTGATTCATGTGTCTCAGGGTTTTATTGATGTAATTTAAATTGTAACAGTTATAATTATGTAGTAGAATAGTTTTGAGTGACAGTTATATTATAAATATGCATATATACATATATATAATGTGTAAACACATACTTTATATAATGTTTGAGAAATAGACCCTACTACAGGTTAAAGCCTAGTTGTGAATATTTTCCTTCACACTTAATGATTTCTAAATCTTTGCTTATTGACTTTTTATATTGTCTTTTATTTTCTTTTTCATTTGACATATATCTCCTTACACATTATTGAGAATTTACCTTAATACTTAAATTCCACTGCTGGCAAATATGCTACAAACTTCCTTCTGGGGTGTTAGCTTTGTTTAAGGTATAGTTGTTAAAAGATGGAACACTATATTAAATCATTTAACTCCCTTCGAAGCCAAGTTCAATAAATATTATTGACGTGTCATCATGAAATAGAGAATTAAAGTAAATTGCTCAGGATCATACAGCTCTGAGCAAAAGCTCTTCACCTGAAATATCTTCAAGATATGTATTATCCTGCTTCTAGGAATGTCTTCCTACTGGAATGAACTCCTTTACCATAATCTAGTATCTAAGAACCACTCACTTTGTCAAACTATTATGTGGAAGAAAAAAAACTGAGATCCAAAGGGATGAGTATCTATTACTAGGTAATATATATATAGTCTTATTCATTGAGTTAACAAAGATATTAATCAATAAAGATGATATAGTAATAAAAAAGATGAATCCTTTTATACATTCTATTTCTCATACACCTAGACACTTTACATTCCAAGAGTCTTTTATGGATATTGTTTGTTCAGTATGCCCTTGGTTAAGGCCAACCATTTCTTTCTTCTTAATGAATTAAAAGATGAGAATTTTATCTTCTTGTGTAAATTATTGTGATCTCAGTTTTTCCTCATTTGCTCAGTAAAGCATCTGAAAAATGTCATAAGGCAGACATCAAATGATGTTCTAAGCAGGTTACCTGAATATTTGATACTTTCAAACCTTAAGACAATTCTTAGTTTAACTTGGCTATATTCTAAAACTTCTGATACATGTGCATGAAAAATAAATGTAATAGATTTGGCCCACACATACACCCACATGTACACACACACACACACACACACACACACACACACACCATGGTAAGAACTAGGTTCTGTTATCCTACCAAAAGATATCAGATGTTACTTTTTCATGGCTAGGAAAATGCAATACAGATTATTTCTTTCATCATTCATCAGCTATATATCTGTTCATGCTGGAACTGTCATCTCCTTTACACGAGAGATCTGCCAAACCAAGTAATTTTTTTTCACGAATCTTTTGGATGTAGTTCACATGATAACAAGTCACAAAAGATGCTCAGAAACTTACTTGCTCAAATTCCAGATCTATGTTACTTTCATGTGTTCTCCATAAACATCAACCTGGTTCTATCCAAAAGTGATTAATATGGTTATTAGCTCATATATACATTGTCAAAACTATCAAACAAAGCTTTTAATGGTAAATATCATGTCTTCAATATTTTTTATTTGTGTTTATGTAGTATAAAGTATATTTGTGTTGGATCTTTTTTATATTTAAGAATGTGCTAATACTTTTTTTTTATTCTAAGTATATTACCAACATTTTACATTAAACTCCTTTGGGTACTAGGTTACTTTTGTTCCATGGGTAATCTAAATGCATTTAGTATATTTCAAAGATTCATATTTATTTCTATGAACAATATTTGTGCTTGGAATAACCAGCTATTACATATGTGTGTAATATATGCATATGTAATATTCTAGAAACTTTCCTCAAAAACTTTAGATAATGTGCTGAGTCAAAACACTTTATAGAACAATTTATGCAGATTATATTTGCTTATAAAGATTTATTTTTTATTTCACTTGTTAAATGCCATGAAAGTCCCTGGCTTTCACAGAATTAAATTTGATATCTTTCTTATGGAGAACTTCATAGTGTTTAGGGTTCTCATTAATTACCTTGGACTCATTACTGAATCTGGCACCATGCTTCTATCCCAGCTTGCTG